AGTTTAGCCTAAATCATAGAACCTTACAGCTGGAGAGCTTAAAAGTCTGGGGGCTCCCTACGTCTCCTCTGCAGCAACACGTGGGGTGGGGGGGTGCTGCACATTGTGACATTCCCTTGTGTTTCCCAGAGTCCTCTTATAACAGCCAAAATCCAGAATGCTCCCTAATGTGTATTTTTAACCTTTATTTTGACAAATTTATTTTTTGAAAGTATATCATTCTTACAAGTCAATGATGTAAAAAGAAAAAGGAAGGGAACATTTTCGAAGAAAACAACTCAAAACACATAACCAAATGCAATGAGTAGACCTTGTTTAGATTCTGATTTGAACAAATCAACTGCAAGAAAATATCTTTGATGTAATCAGTGAAAATTCAATATGGATTGAGTATTAGGTGATATTGAGAAATTATTGTTAGTGATATTATTGGTACCCAGAATATGCTTGTTCTTGCATTTCTGTGTGGGGATATATGCCATTTAAACATGGCTGCACTATTGACAACTGCAGCCCCCACAGGCCTCTATGCTGCACAGCATGTTGAGACTTGTCCCCAACATGTTGAGACTTGTCACGACTTGTTTTCCCAAACCTATTGTCCCTTTACTGATTGGCTTGTTTACCTGAATTCCTTCTCCCTTGCCCGCACCCAAAGCCCATTCTTCTGTTATTTGCTTCACTGCTTGCTGTATTGACTATAAATAAACTCCTGGGACTGAAGCCAGGGTAGACTCCTCAGAGTGACCCTCCTGGCCCCACTTCTCTGTAAGAGTTGTGTTTGGTTACTGTCTCTGCCATCCCAACAACCATCGCCACTGCAACATTTCTGTACCTATCTCCTCCCACTAAAGTAAAAGCTGGACCTTGTCTGTCTCTTTAGAGGGCATAGGTATAGCACAGTGGTTAAGAGTACAAACTTCACTCAATCATTTACTGTGTGATCTTAAGCAAGTTACTTAATCTCTCTGTGACTGTTGTTGTTGCTTTTTTTTTTTAATCTATAAAGTGGGAGAAATAATAAAATCCATCTCATCAGCTTGATGTGAAGATTAAATGAGTTAATGTTTGTAAAGCATTTAGAACAATGTCTGGCACACTTATAAAAGTATTTGTCCAGGAATCTTCTAAATCTTGGGTAGGTGAACAACTATATTCTATAGATCTAAGGGAAAGCCTTTTCGTAAGAAAACCCAAGTGGTGGGACAATAGCCCAGCCCAGTTCAGGAGGCCCTAATGACACAGATCGATAATGCTTAGCAAGCACAAGCAGGGGTAGCACACATATGCACATACACCAGAAGACAGTGGGGAATAATTGCCAGAAACCTGGCTTCTGGAACCAGACTGGGTTCAAATCCTGTCTGAACTACCAATGAAATATGTGACTTTGGGCAAGTCACTTCTAACCTGTGCTTCAGCTGACTCTTTTGTAAAATGAGGCGGTAACAACACCTAAACACAGGTTGAAGGGTTGTAAAACAAGATAAACCCTTAGCATAGCCAATGCTCACTAAGCAGTTTATTATTTATTACCTCTGGTATTTGACTCACTCATTCATGGTTTCAAGTCAGTCAAGTCCTTTCTGCTCTTTAAGCCTCAGTTTTCCCATCCTCACAAATGGGAATCTTGACAGCTTTGCCTCCGGTATAAGAGAGAAGAGAACGGAGAATTACCTTTTGCTGGGCATCTATACTGACGTCAAGAGGAGCCTCTATTGTTCCCCATACCAACCAAAATTCAAACTCAGCTGCGACTGGTTTCAAATTCCCTCACCAACTGTTTTCCCTAGAGTTGAGTTCTGTGGAAAAGGCTTCGGAGAGATTTCTAGACTGAAGCTATGCCCTTTGATACTCAAGCTTCAAGAGATAAGGGAGCCACCAACAGTGATCCCGTGTGCAGCTGAAGCCCCAGGGAGACAGTTTCAAACCAGCGCAGGGGCTGTGATGCTCTTTCCACGTTGTTGATGGAACAGCCTCACTCAGCCCTTCTCCTCCCCAACCTCGACCCTTAGCTGCCGGATCAATGCTATTCCCCAACTCTGCGTTGGCCGGGTCCCAAGCCCGCCCCAGGGTAGGGGCATCCCGCCTGGAGAGCCTGCGAACCAACTTACCCAAAAGCTTGGCGTCCTGGCCCGACTGGGGTCGGCAAGGAGGGAGTTCCAGAAGACACCTCTCTCCCGACTCACCCAAAGCTCCTTGACACCGTCTCTTTCAAGTTCTCCCCCGCAGCCAGCCAGCACTTTGCCTTCAGTGGGAGAGTCCACAGGGGCTGATTTGTTCCTTAGGGTCCCAAGCCTATTAAGGGGCACCCAGTGACAAGGGGAAGGGGGCTCTAAGAGCCATGGGCCGGTGCCGGGGGGTTCCAAGACATTGGAGGCACCTGGGGACCCAAGGCCGAGGTAACCTGGCAACAAAGCAGGAGTCCCGGGAATTTAAAAAAAAAAGAAAAAAAAAAAAAGGCGTTGTAAGAATGGGATGTTGGGATGGACAGTTCTGGAGACACAACAAGGGACAGACTTGGGTCCTCCTAACTGGGAGCAGGGAGCTCAGGAGGCACCTAGGCTAAGGCGCAGGGGGGGCAGAAAGCCCCATCCGCGCCCAGCTCTACCTGTGCGACCGCCCGTGCCGGAGCGCTCCTCCGCGCTGCGCTCCACACGACCTCCCGGAGCGCACACAATGAGGCGCTTTCAGAGACGTGGCTGCGGTCCTGGAGCAGGCGGGCGGGAGCGAGGGAGAGAGCGAGGGGGGAGGGACGGAGGGAAGGAAGGAGCCGGTTGGCCCCAACTATCCTCCCCACCCCTGGACCGGAGGAGGGGCGGCCGCAGCAGGGATCCCAGTTAACGGAGGGCACAGGTGGGCGGGGTGGGGCTGGGGGCCCGCGGGAGGCGCAGCCAAGGGTGTCAAAGGGCGCACCCAGGGTCTCCTCTCATCCCACTAATTGACCATAAAGTTGCCCCCCACACACACCCAATCTCCGGCGGAAGGAGGCACCTGGGAGCACAAAAGGCCCTTGTGAAGGAAACTGAATCAATCTTGCCCCTCCTTGCCCTCGGTGGCATCCTCGCAATAAAGTGACTTGGAATCCAAACCGCTTCTCAAGTCCCCAGCCTCAGTCCGAAGCCAAGACCTTGAGACCTTGATGCCTGGGGACCCAAGCCGCCTCCCGAACCGAGCTAGGAGGGGCCGAGAGGCCAGCTGGCCGTCAGGAGCCAGGCCTGCGTCTGTCCCCCTCCTCCAATCCCCTCCCTGCCCAAGCACTTTCCCAACCCGGAGGCGCAGGCTTGAAAGCAAGTTCTGATAAATACAGGATACAATTTTTTTTTATTTTTGCTTTTCCTCTACAAATAACGAGATAGAGCCCAGGCACTTGAAAAGGGTAGAGCATTACAACACCTTGTAATCTGTGGTGGGATCTAAAACTAGAAGTCATTGCTGCTGGGGGTAGGAATTAGTGGAGCCTTCCCAGGATGAGGTTTGGCAAGGCGAACTAAGATCTTTAACAACAATCAGAAGCGTTCTGAATTAATAATTCCTCTCTAGGATCTATATGAAGGAATTAATTTAATCAGGAGCAAGGATTTACACACACAAGTTCACAGAAGTGTTATGATAGAAAAAAAAAGAAACAACGCAAAGATTAGAAAGATGTGTGCCAGAAAGGCAATAGTGATTACTTCTGGGAAGTGAGTTTACAGACAATTGTTTTCTTCTTCAGGTTTCTGTAATTTACACATTTCCCCCAAAGGGTATTTAGAAATTTCCTGGTCAGAAATGAACAAAACCCCTCTTAAAAACTATGAGAGAAAGAAAGAAGATTGAGAATTGCTGTGTTAACCTCAGATGAAGGAATGTAAGTGGGGTATTAGCAACCTCCACAAACAAAGCAGATGTTTTAGGCCACTCCTTACCTGATTCAAACAGAAACTGGCTAATCATTTGACAAAATCAGGGATCTTTTAAAAAAATACTGAATAAATATCTCAAACCCTGACTTTGCCATGAGTTACAGCTGTATATTTCTCATGGTTTCCTCTTGCAGCTACACTGTGTGATTCAGGTTCAGAAGCTACAATATCTGATCTGTAAATAACTCTGTATTCACCAGACATGGTTGTAATTTTCCAGCCTGTGGTTTCCACATGCCATGTGGATTCCACCGAAAACTCACATTTATTTGGTGCTGGACCAGGGGATATTTGCCAAAGAGCTAACGAAAGCTCCAAGTCTGTGGGCAGTGCCCTGGCAAAGCAAGGCTGCTGGTGAGTAACATGGAGAAGTGTGGGCAACCTCTGCCCTCCCCGCTCTTCCCTCACCCTCCAACCCCCTTTCCCTCCACAAATTCACATGCAACCTTCCATTCTCAACATTTTTCATTAGAAAGTTACAAAACATCATGGATTCTTTACACAATTTTCCATTAAAACAATAAAATGCAAAGCAGTGTTTATATACATCTTTAACTATTCCCATTATCTTTCTGTGATTTAAACCAGAAACAATTTTCCATGGTTTAAATCTCAAGAAAAAATTTGCAGTCCTAAATATGAAAGGAAAAGTACAGGTGCCAGTGTTAGGGAATTTTTGTGCTTGAATACTTCAAAATAGCTTTGTTCCCAACACTCTGATCAGCCTGGAAAAAAAAAAAAAAAAAAAGTGCTTTGGAAATAAGAACTGAATCTCCAAGGTAAACTGAGGCACACACTGAGGAGTGTTTGTGAGTGGGCAAAGAAGCATGGGTCATGAGGTCACGTCCTTCTAATGCCAACGATGCTCGGGATCAGAAAGACCCATCGTCCTCTGAGGAGACTGCATGTTTCTACAGGACAAAACGGGATTGAATAATCAGTCTTCAGTGTGTAACCAAGGCCCCTTCTGAGCAGCTCTTCTCCTTCAGACACTCACTTAGCCTGAGGGTTATCCGGCTGGACTGCATGTCACTCTGCTAGGGACCAGGCTGGATGGAATTGCCTGGACTAGCGTCCTCTTCACCCTCTTACTGCTCCATATGTGTTTTCCAAAACTGCCCACTCTGATGGGCACGCTGGTCCTCAGTCAAGGAAAATCCAAGTAGCTGGGCTTCCCGCTAGCTCTCCAAATAAACTCTGTGGTTGTCGGGCAGTGGGAGCCAGTACCAACAACAGCAACTTTGTCATCCACAACCTTTTCAGGAAGGGGGAGGGCTGTCAAGGAAGAGGAGAGGCAAGTGTCTAGGCTGTTGGGTGAGGGCCAGAGAGAAAGAACCTGTTGTTACAGTGCTTACTTCCTCCACTGTGGCTGAGGGGACTGTGAATGAAACAGCACTTCTTACTGCAGCCTGCTACCCCGGGGCACAGACAGAGGGCAAAAGGCAGGGCAAAGAGCCAGCCACAGAAAGGCAGGGATAAAGGGCTGTTCAGCTGAGCTGATGACAGATGACTATGTGATCGACTGAGGGCAGATGGATGGTCCTACTGTCCTCAAGTTGCCCACCCTCATGCACAAACGCGTGCTCTTGTACTTGCATCTCCCCTCCTCCCAGTTAAAAGCCTCTCAGTTCTAGAAATTAAAGTTCTGGATGGGAAATTTAGATGTCCACAAGTGGAAAGTGCTACTGATTTGCATATTTATCATGAGAGCCCTGAAAAAAGAAAGACGTACTTTACAATATAGGAAAGAAATGCATAGCAGGTTCTTTAGTTCAAGAAAGGAAAAGTCTTTGCTTAACCAGAGATGGGACTCTTTCCAAGATATGTGAACTGACTAGTTTGCTCCTGAAATTCAGGTCTAGGGCAAAAAACAAAACAAAAATTGAGTTCTCAAACATTTCCACAAACTAGTCCCTGATGATATTGTAGGCACTTAGAAGATGGAATTTGTATAGAGAAATATTTGAAAGAACTGTGTCTTTGAGGGGAAAAACACATAGGCCAGCACGTGGGCTCTTTTCAGAAATGCAGTGAGAGTTCTCAGAAGGTGACAGTGAGGTAGAAATTGTCTTCTTATGATAAGTGCTCCTTATACAGTTCTCCCTGGGGCGCGGCTGTTACGGGGATTGTGGTCACCACCTGATTTTGAAACACGAATATTTTGATTCTTTCAAACACCCAGAGGAAAATAAGCAGGATACTGACATACTGAACCCAGGCAAATTTTATCATCTCCCAGAATCCTGGTTGATAGGTGCAGACAGTTAAGGAGTCACAAGAGGATACTTTGTAAGTAAACATTAAACTAAGGTTTAGCTCAGGCAGGAAATGGCAAAAATGTTTCAAATACCTTTCAGGGAAAAGGGATAACAAAAGATGATTAAGACATACATTTGGATGATTCTGACCCAGAATTGCTCAGAGAGAAGATACGAACAGGAAATGAAAAATTTCCCCCCATATGAACAGCAGACAGACACAAAGTCATTTGTGTGGGACACTGGTGGTTCAGAGGTGAAATTCTTGCCTCTCATGCTGGAGACCTGTTTGATTCCTGGCCAAGGCACCTTATGCGCAGCCACCATCCGTCTGTATTTAGAGGCTTGCATGTTGCTATAACGCTGAACAGCTTTTAGTGAAGCTTCCAGACGAAGACAGACTAGGAAGAAAAATCTGGTGATCTACTTCCAAAAATCAGGCAATAAAAGCCCGATGGATCACAACGGTATACTCCCCAGCTGACTATGGGGATTGCACAGGACTGAGCAGCGTTTCGTTCCATTGTGCGTGGGGCCAACTCTAGGGAAGCTAACCACAACATAACACTGTAGTATTTTCTAATCTAAGGCTTACCACATCTGTTCCTACTTGGGACAACAAAGGGATCCTTTTTTCTACAGGTGGAAACTGAGCTTACTATTGGTTCACAGAAAGGATATGCAATGACTTCCACAGGGTACCGGATGACAGCATTAATCACAAACGGAGCTTCGGCAGCCCTTCCCACCAGCCAGATGGGGTTAGGGTCCATCAGGATGGTGGTGACTGCAATCAAATCATGGATCATTAATCATGGATGGCAAAATACATTGAGTGGTATTTTAGTTATCTAGTGCTGCTACAACAGAAATATCACAGTGGATGGCTTTAACAAACAAAAATTTATTTTCTCACAGTTTATGTGGCTAGAAGTTCAAACTTAGGATGCCGGCTCTAAGGGAAAGCTTTCTCTGTTGGCTCTGGAAGAAGGTCCTTGTCTCTTTAGAGCTTCTGCTCCTAGGAGATCTTCATGTGGCTTGGCATCTCTCTTCCCCCCATCTCTGTTTCTTTCACTTGCTTGTTTAATCTCTGTCATATCTCAAAAGAGATTGACTCAAGACACACCCTACATTAATCTTGCATCATTAATATAACAAACACAACCAAATGGGATTATAACCACTGGCATAAAGGTTAGGATTTACAACACATATTTTTGGGGGACACAATTAAATCTGGAATGTTCTTTTGACCCCTGGGGCAAATTCTGCATTTCAGAACTTATCCCGAAGAAATAATTCAAAGACAGCGTGCAGATGTTGAAAAGAGGTTCAACATCATTAGTCATCAGGGAGCTGCAAATCAAAACCACAAGGAGATACTACTTCGCTCCCATTAGAATAGCTAAAATAAAATTTTTTTTTAAAAAAAGTAAAATAACAAATGTTGGTGAGGATGCAGAGAAATCAGAACCTTCATCCACTGCTGGTGGGAATGCAGAATGGGACAGCTGCTGTGGGAAACAGTTTGGCAGTTCCTCAAAAAGTTAAAAATACAGCTATCATTTGACCCAGCAATCCCACTCTTAGATATATACCTGAGACTTGAAAGCAGTAATTCAAACAGACACATACATGTACACCAATGTTCACTGCAGCACTAATCATAATAGCCAAAAGGTGGAAATGACCCAAATGTCCATCAACAGATGAATGAATAAACAAAATGTGGTATACACATACAATGGAATACTATTCTGTCATAAAGAAAAATGAAATTTGATGTATGTGACAACACCTTGAAAACATGTTGAGTAAAATAAGTCAATCACAAAAGGACAAATATAATATAATTTCACTAATACAAAACACTTAAAATAGGTAAATGTATAGAGATCAGAGTTTAACAGTGGTTACCAGGGGCAGGAGGGAAGGGGAAAGTGGGAAATCTTTGTCTAGTTAACACCGAGTTTTTATTTATGGGCATGGGATACATGGCAATGGATATTAGTGATGGTTGCACAACATTGACTGATTTAATTGGTTTCACTGAATTGTACAAGTGACAAACGTCCACTTGGCAAATGTGTTACTATCTATCTATCCCTTTTATTTTATTGTTGTTGTTGAGGATATACACAGCAAAACATACATCAATTCAACAGTTTCTACATATAAATTCAGTGACATTGATTACATTCTTTGGGTTGTGTAACCAATTCTCACCTTCCTTTTGAGTTGTTCCTCCTCCATTAACATAAACTCACTGCCCCCTGAGGTAGGTCCTATCTAATCTTTCCAATTGCTGTTGTCAATTTGATCCCATATAGATAGATCTTAAAATAGCAAAATGCTCAAGGCAGACCTTTTCTACTAGCTTAGCTAAACTACTGCTCAGTTTTAAGATGACTTCAGGGGATACTTTTGGTTTAAAGTTTAATGATTATCTCAGGGCAATAGTTCATGGCTCCAGAAAGTCTAGAGTCCATGGCTTAGTTATCTAGTGCTGCTATAACAGAAATACCACAAATGGATGGCTTTAACAAAGAAAAACTTATTCTCTCACAGTCTAGGAGGCTAGATGTCCGAATTCAGGGTGTTAGCTCCAGCGGAAGGCTTTCTCTCTCTGCTGGCTCTGGGAGAAGGTGCTTGTCATCAATCTTCCCCCTTCAAGGAGCTTCTCAGAATAGGGACCCTGGGTCCAAAGGATGCCCTGTTCTCCTGGCTCATATTTCTTGGTGGTATGAGGTCCCCACATGTCTCTGCTCACTTCCCTCTTTTATATCTCAAAAGAGATTCGTTTAAAACACAACCTAATCTTGTAGATTGAATCCTGCCTCATTAACATAACTGCTGCTAATCCCACCTCATTAACATCATAGAGGTAGGATTTACAACACATAGGAAAATTACATCAGATGACAAAATGGTGATCACACAGTACCGGGAATCATGGACTAGCCAAACTGACACACATTTTCGAGGGACATCATTCAATCCATGACAGTCCATGAGAATTTGAAATTCTGTTCTGCATCTTCCCCATTTTGATCAGGATTCTTCTATAGAATCTTTGATTAAAACACTCAGTAATGGTAGCTAGGCACCATCGAGTTCTTCTGGTCTCATAGCAAAGGAGGCAATTGTTCATGGAGGCAATTAGTCACATATTCCATGTTGTTGTTAGGTGCTGCAGAGCCGGTTCTGACTCACAGTGACCCTATGTACAACAGAATGAAACAGTGCCCGGTCCCGTGCCATCCTCACAATTGCTGTCATGCTTGAGCTTATTGCTGTAGTCACTGTGTCAATCCATCTCATTGAGGGTCTTCCTCTTTTTTGCTGACCTTCCACTTTACCGAGCATAATGTCCTTCTCCAAGGACTGGTCCCTCCTGATAACATGTCCAAATTATGTGAGAAAAAGTCTTGCCATCCTTGCTTCTAAGGAACATTCCAGATCCTCCTATTCCTGACTCTCCTTATTCCTCTATGCTTCAGGCGTACAGAGACCAGTTGTGCCTTGGATGGTAGCTTGCAAGCTTAAGACCCTAGGCACTAAACAACAAACTAGGAGGTAGAACAGAAGCACTAAATACATTATTAGGCCAGTTAACTGAAGTGTCCCATGAAATCATGACCCTAAACCGCCAAACCAAGGAACAAAATCCCATGAGGTGTTTGGTTGTACATAAGCAGCCTCAGCAGCTATTCTTTTTTTTTTTTGTCGTTGTTGTAAATGTATCTGTTATGGATTAAACTGTTCCCTCTCAAAATATGTGTTGTAAATCTTAACTTCTATGCCTGTGGTTATAATGCCATTTGGGAATGGGTTGTCTTTATTACGTTAATGAGACAGGATTAGTATAAGGTGCATCTTGAGTCAATCTCTTTTGAGATATGACAGAGATTAAACAAGCAAGCAAAAGAAGCAGAGATGAGGGCAGAGAGATGCCAAGCCATAAGATCTTCCAGAAGCAGAAGTTCCAAAGAGACAAGGACTTTCTTCCAGAGCAGACAGAGAGAGAAAGCCTTCTCCTACAGCCGGCACCCTGAATTTGGACTTCTAGTCTCCTAAACTGTGAGAAAATAAATTACTGTTCGTTAAAGCCACCCATTTAGGGTAGTTCTGTGATAGCAGCGCTAGATAACTAAGACAATATCTATCTCACAACTTTTGCCAATACAACTTTTTACAGGTGTACAACTAATTGACATCAATTATAATAACTGGCTGTGCAATCCTACCTTAATCAATTAGATATTTTCATCACTGTTAACTCCCTCCTTTCCCCCTCCCTTCCACCTCTGGTAATCACTAATAAACTATGATATCTTTACATTTGTCTTTTCTTGTCTTTTTATATAAGTGAGGTCATACAATATTTGTCCTTTTGTGATTGACTTATTTCACTCAGCATAAATGTCTTCAAGCTCCATCCATACTGTAGCACGTTATCAAGACTTCATTTTTCCTACTGAGTAGTATTCCACTGTATGTATGTACCATATTTTGTTTATACATTCATGTTGCGGGGCATTTATGTTGTTTCCACCTTTTGGCTATTGTGAACAGTGCTGCAATGAACATTAGCGTATAAGCCTCTGAGTCTCTGCTTTCTAGTCTTTTGGATATACACTTAGGAGGGGAATGCTGGGTCATATGGTAGTTCTATTTTTAGTTTTTTGAGAAGCTGCCACACTGTTTTCCACAAGGGTTGTACCATTTTGCATTCCCACCAGGAATGGATAAGCGCTCCAATTTCCACACATCCTCGACAACATTTGTTTTTGTTTTTCATCGGAGCCATCCTAGTGGGAGTTAAATGATATCTCATTGTGGTTTTGATTTGCATTTCTCTAACGGCTAACGACACTGGGCATCTTTTCATGTGTTTGGTGGTCATTTGAATGTCCTCTTTGGGGAAATGTCTATTCAAGTCCTTAGCCCATTTTATGATTGGGTTATTTGTCTTTTTGCTGTTAAAATGTTGAAGTTTTATATACGTATTGATGTCATCTCTATTTTTTACAATAAAAAAATAAAAACTACTTCCTTTGAAAGAAAAAAGCATGTGCAAAGTTGTTCACACAATATTTGTTAAAATACATTAAAATACTTATGTCTGAGGTGTGATGGATCTTTTCGTGTGGACTTTCTCGCCACGGTCTTATAACTTCCACCCAGGTGATTGGGTGGGACTGTGCGAATGCACTAACTGTGGCGCACCAAGAGGAATGGTCACTTTTGCCATCTCGCTGGGCTTGGGGTAAGCCATGCCAGAGGTGGGAAAGAGAGGATCCCACTACCACCAAGCCAGGAGAGACTGGCAGGAGACAGTGCAGTGGGCTTCCTTGCCCACAGAGTGAGAAAGCTGAGTGCCTCTGGACTGCAGCTGACTGGCAGAGTGGGATGCCTTGGGGTACTTATTGGCAGAGCTAAAAGAGCTCTGTAACACTTGCCTGAAAAGGGCAGATGCCCAGGGCCAGAGAGAGGCCTGCCTGTGAACGCCACTGAGAAGAGGATGTCCTGGTGGAACAATTATATCCTGGGTGTCCCTCAACCTTAATTATAACCTGTTACTTCCCTAATAAATCCTATAATCGTGAGTATTGTCTGTGAGTTCTGTGTGGCCACTGCAATGAATTATCGAACCCAGCAGAGGAGTAGAGAGTGCTGTGGAAGGGATGGTTGGTGTCAGAATTGGTAAAGATGGTGGAGAGAGGAGGCGTGTCTCACCTCCGCCTCATAGGAATCAGCTGGGCTGTTGATCTTGATTCTCCTTCTCCCTTCTGAAGTTAGAAGAGGTCAAACTACACCCTCACACCATTTTTACAATGTCAAAAACTTGAAACAGTCTACGTGTTCTTTTACATTTGCCAAATAGCTAAATGAAAGAATACTGTGCTGCCATTAAAAATAACACCAATTAGAACTTTGCAGCAGTGTGAGGGAATATTTATATTACAAAGTTAAATAAAAACAATTCGATGATTCCAATTGTATGACATTCTGGAAAGTCAAAACTATAGAGACAGTGAAACGATCAGTGGTTGCGAGGAGTTTGGTGGGGGAAGGGATAAACAGGTGGAGCACAGTTCATTTTTATGGCAGCGAAACTCTTCTGTATGATATTGTATAGTGGACACATGACATTATGCATTTGTCAAAACCCATAGGACTGTACAACACAAAGAATGAACCTTAATGTAAACTGTGGACTTTAATTAATAATAATGTATCAATATTGGTTTAACCATTAATCAATTCGAACAAATGTATCACAGGAGCACAAGATGTCAATAGGAAAAACAGCATATGTGGGGAGGGGGACATATGGGTACTTCCTGTACTTACAACATGATTTTTCTGTAAATCTAAAACTGCTTTAAAAAATAAAGTCCACTTTAAAAAAACCAAAGTGGATCCCAAAGTATCTCTACTATGATAGTGCTGTATGTGTGTGTATATATATACATATATATACACACACTATATATATATATATACACACAGTATATAAAAACTGCATATGGACAAAGACTGGAAGAAATAAAGAAAAAAAAGTTGATGTGTAGGCCAATGTTGTTTAGTTTTGTTTTTTAAATTTCCTTTATTACTGGAATAATGCTGACAACGTATTACATACAATCAGGAAGAAGAAACTGGAACAGCAGTCGTCCCCCAACTTGTTAAATGTCTGTGTCTAATATCCATGGTGTCTGGTTGCCATGTAACACTTGGGTACCTTTAGAGAAAACCTCAGACCACCAACCAACCAAAGGTACTGAGTCAAGCACAAGAGTACGTGGATGGTCCTAAGAGCATCTCCTGTGTAAGGGATAAAGACACCCTGCCTTTTGGCCAGAACCTTTCACGCTTCCATTCTCCTACTTGGACTGCTAATATGGCATAAGTCAACCATATTATCTTCTTTCCTCTGAAAAGTACGCACAACAATTTGTCTATGCCTTCTTTTACAGATGTGCTGAGGGGAGCTACTCAATTAAGTCAGTGGTGGGATGAATATGGCAATTAATCATCACTACTAACCTGCCGGACCATAGGTGTAGCCTGGGGGGAAGAATAGACAAATCCTGGGTAGTCCACTTGCATTCCATGACCGAGTGTTCACTGGTTTGACATTTTCATCCCGACAAGGATTTCAACTGTTTCCCTCCATTGCTCCCATTAACCTGGAAAGTTCCTGAGCAGGGGCTGAATGAACTCCACCCAAGACTCACCATTCCTTTCCTGGTAGGCAGCAACAATGTGGGTGAGGTCATAGTCATAGGCAAAAGGGCTGGTCCCACTGACGACAGACACCTAGGATCAAAGGAGGAAACAGTGTGAGTGCCCGAGCTGCTTCACCTCTATTCTTTTTACCCTCCTGTCCACACAAGCTAATCCCAGAACATACTCTCTTGTTCTTGGTGGGCTATTCCAGAGTCAATAATCTTCAAGGATGATTAAACTTTCTCTTGCAACAATTTAAGTCCATTTAATTTCACTCTTTTCCTTTGTGGGGATGGAAACAGGGGGTTAATATGCACCGTTTACAGGTTTTAAAGATGTTCATAAAATACCCCTCTCAATTCCAATGAGAGAAATAATTCTTCATCTTTCTCTTGTTCTTTTCTGGACTCTCTCTAGTTTGTCTCTTTCAAATGTAGAGATTGAAATAGGAAGAAATGAAAATAGTAAGCATACTAATCCTTCAAAGAAGGAAAGGATTTCCTGCCCTTGAATATTATATTCCCACTGATATAATCTGATACGTAAACTTTTTAATCAACAGTGTGTTATAAAGTTTATCTTATAGTTCCTTTTTTAAAAAAAAATTATGTTTATTATAGCTTCTTGTTGTTGCTGATTCCGACTCACAGTGACCCTACAGGACAGAGTAGAACTGCCCCATAGGGTTTCCAAAGAGTGGCTGGTGGATTTGAACTCTTGACCTTTTGGTTAGCAGCCTGAGCTCTTAACCACTTTGCCACCAGGGCTCCCTACTATAGCTAGGGTAACTATACTTCCTGGTTGATCTAGAACAGTCCTGATTTATGCCTCTAATAATTGCTAATATATCCTTCTCAGCTTCTAAAGGAGCCCAACTGTTATGGATTGAATTGTGTTCCCCCAAAATATGTGTTATAAATCCTAACCTCTCTGCCTGTGGTTATAATCCCATTTGGGAATGGGTTGTCTTTGTTATGTTAATGAGGCAGGATTAGTGTAGGGTGTGTTTTGAGTCACTCTCTTTTGAGAAATAAGAGGTTAACAAAGAGAAGCAGAGCTGCGTGAGGTAAGATAACTGCCAAGACACATAGAGATCTCCAAGGAACCAGGAAGCAGAAGCTGAAGAGAGAAGGACCTTCCTCCAGGGGAGAGAAAGAAGGCATTATTCTAGAGCCAGCGGCCTGAATTCAAACTTCTAGCCTCCTAAACCGTGAGAAAATAAATTTCTGTTTCTTAAAGCCACACACTTGTGCTATTTCTGTTACAGTAGCACTAGATAACTAAAACACCAATCCAACTGACATGGTCCCCTTTGTGTTAAGATAAAGGTTAGGAACAAGTGATTAGATACATGACTTCTGAACTCAGGCAGATAGTTCCTCCTTCTTTACTTTTAAGCTGTGGGACTTTGCGAAAAGTAATTAATCCCTGTAAACCCAAGTTTCCTCATGTGTAAAATGAGAGTTCATTCTTTTAACAAATACGTCTGAGTGCTTACAATGTGTCAGACATACAAGATGTCAGTGCTTTTAACACGGAGGGAGAGACAGCAAATAAACAAAATAAAAACATAACTTTGATATGTCAGGTGGCAGTAAGAAAAATAAATCTGGGTGAGGGATGACACATGGAGGGGGGAATGCTAGTTGAGAAAGAAAGGTCAGGGAAAGACCAGTGTTCAGATGACACTGAACAGGGACCAGAATGGGGTAGTAGAATAAGCCATGTGGATACCTGGCAGAGGGAATGGTATGTGCAAAAGCCCTGAGGCAGGAGCTGCTTCATGGGTTCAAAGAACAGCAAAAACGCCAGTGTGGCTGGGAAGGAGCAAGATGGAAAGTGGTAGGACAAGCAGCTGGAGAGCTTGGAAATGACAACTGTAGGCATCTCATGAGGTTGCTCTGATGATTAAAAGACATGATACACATAAACCTCTTAACAGAGTTGGCATATATTACATGCTCAATAAACAGTGGCTAATATTATTTTTGAAATGTTTTACATGAACTAAAAACGATCACTTGGAATATACCCTGTGTGTGTAACTGAAAACAATAAAGAAATTAGTTATCTGATAAAGACAAAAATTGATTTTTTTCTTGTCAAGGTGTAAAAATAGGTGTAGCTGTTTTCATATATACATATACACATACATATATATATATATTTTCTTTCTTTCGTTGGAAGTTTTTTTAATTACCTTTTTAATCTCTTCTCTTGTTATGGGTGTTTCCATATTGTGAAAAAATTCATGGTAAGAATTTCTCAGAAGTCCTCTTCTATGCCACCCAACAGAAAAATGCTATTTCCAACATTCATTTTTCCCTCCTCAAAGAACTTGATAAACATTAACATATAGAAACAAAGGGGTTGGACAACAAGAAGCATCCTTACATTGTACCGCACATCTAAGCCACCAGAGCTTAGGGGCTCCTTCTGCTGCAGCTTCAGATCTCCATTCACATACAACTGGGACCCCGGAACAGCGAAGGAGGACTGCAGAAATGCCATGCTCTGCATCACAAACGTCGACATCCTCTGAAATCATCAGAAGTAGAGACAATACACACTGTGGTCAGACTGGAAGGGCTCTGGGCTCTAAGAGTCATCTGTCTGGGGTTGCAACCTAACGGTCCCTCACATACTCAGGTGAGCCATGCAGGAAGCACTCTGCTCAGAACCCTCTAAACTACTAATAGCTCATATTAATTAATATGACATGGATGAGAAATATACAATTTGCCTAAATTAAATCCCAAACTATACCTCAGAAAAGAGTCTTCTCAGAAAGGATATTCATAGAAATCAGAAGGAGGGGTCTGTTCAATTAAAGGCAAAGAGCGAGAAGAGAGAGAGGACGGGCCTCCCTAACGAATCAACTCACGTGCAACTGGTAGGAGAAAGTTAAGATGAGCTGCACACCAAGAACATGCTCCGTGGACTGCAGGGGAAGCTCCAGTTTAAAATGTAACATGTCTATTTTCCCATCCTGATTCTTGTCTTCTTCTCTAGTCTAGAAAACCCAAAGAGGGCCAGTTAACCGGGTTCTTAGTAAGTTCACGAAGAATCCATATCACTGCTATATATAATGACCCACTATCCTGCTGTACGCAGGCATTATCTCTCTCACCAAATGAAAAAGAAAGAAAATGAACAGTTGTAGGTGAATCATATTGGGAAAAACACACACAATGTGCATGGCCCTGGAACTACATACTTTGCTGCTCAAACGTTCAAGGGCCAAACTGGATGAGAACTTGAAATGGCAACAGCAAGAGCAATAAGCACCTCTTTCAATGGCCTCATTTGACCTCTTTTTTTGGTTTTGTTTTTCTTTTCTTTTTTTTTTTTAATCATGCCTAGTTTGTAAGGAAAATTTAAATAGCACATCAGAATTGTCTTATATTTCTCTAGAAATCAACTTTTCAGAATAGAAGAAAATACATAGTTAAATGCTTTACCCTAATCATTATGCATTACCTAAATAAACTTAACAGAAACTAATCAAATGTGCAATCAAGATGAATTGATAATTACTGGTGATTGGAATGTGAAAGTTAGAAACGAAGAAGGATCAGTAGTTGGAAGATATGGCCTTGGTGACAGAAACGACATGGGAGATTGCATGATAGAATTTTGTAAGACCAACGACTTATTCACTGCAAACACCTTTTCTCAGCAACATAAATGGTGACTATACATGTGGACCTTGCCGGATAGAATACACAGGAATCAAATCCACTACATCTGTGGAAAGAGATGCTGGAGAAGCTCAATATCATCAGTCGGAACAAGGCCAGAGGCCAAATGCAGAACAAACGATCAACTGTTCACATGCAAGTTTAAGTTGAAAATGAAAAAAATTAAAACAAGTCCACAAGAGCCAAAGTATGACCTTGAATATATCCCACCTGAATTTAGAGATCATCTGTCATGGACTGAATTTTGTCCCCCAAAATTGTGTATATCAATTTCGCCAGACCATGATTCCTGGTATTGTGTGATTGTCCACCATTTTGTCATCTGGTGTGATTCTTCTATGTGTTATAAATCCTGCCTCTATGATGTTAATGAGGGGGGATGGGCAGCAGTTGTGTTGATGAGCCAGGACTCAATCTATGGGATTGGATTGTGTCTTGAGCTGGTTTCTTTTGGGATATAAAAGAGAGAAGCAAGCAGAGAGACAGGGTGACCTCATACCACCAAGAAAGCAGTGCCGGGAGCAGAGCACGTCCTTTGGACCTAGGGTTCCTGCGCAGAGAAGCTCCTAGTCCAGGGGAAAATTGATGAGAAAAAGACCTTCCTCTAGAGCCAACAGAGACAGAAAGCCTCCCCCTGGAGCTGACACTCTGAATTTGGACTTTTAGCCCACTTCACTGTGAGGAAATAAATTTCTCTTTGTTAAAGCCATATACTTGTGGTATTTCTGTTATAACAGCATTAGATAACTAAGACACCATCTCAAGAATAGATCTGATGCACTGAACGCTAATGACTGAAGACCAGACGAGCTGTGGGATGACATCAAGGTCATCATACATGAAGAAAGCAAAAGGTCATTAAAAAGACAGAGAAGAAAGAGAAGACCAAAATGGATGTCAGAAGAGACTCTGAAACTTGCTCTTGAAAGTACAGCAGCTAAAGCTAACAGACGAAATGATTAACTAAAAGAGCTGAATAGAAAATGTCAAAGGGTGGCTTGAGAAGACAAAGTAAAGTATTATAATGAAATGTGCAAAGACCTGGAGTTAGAAAACCAAAAGGGAAGAATACACTTAGCATTTCCCAAGCTGAAAGAGCTGAAGAAAAAATTCAAGCCTCGAGTTGCAATATTAAAGGATTCTATGGGCAAAATACTGACTGATGCAGGAACCATCAAAAGAAAATGGAAGGAATACACAGAGTCACTGCACCAAAAAGAACTGGGCAATGTTCAACCATTTCAGGAGGCCGCAAACGATCAAGAACCGATGGTACTGAATGACGAAGTCCAAGCTGCACTAGAGGCACTGGTGAAAAACAAGGCTCCAGGAAATGACAGAATATTAACTGAGATGTTTCAACAAACAGATGCAATACGGGAAGCACTCACATATCTATGCCAAGAAATGTGGAACACAGCTACCTTGCCAACTGACTGGACGAGATCCATATATGTGCCCATTCCAAAGAAAGGTGATTCTGTGGAATGTGGAAATTATCAAATAATATCATTAATATCACATACAAGTAAAATTTCACTGAAGGTAATTTAAAAAAATGGTTGCAGCAGTACATCAACAGGGAATTGCCAGAAATTCAAGCGGTATTCAGACCAGGATGTGGAATGGGGATATCATTGCTGATACCAGATGTATCTTGGCAGAAAGCAGAGAATACCAGAAAAATGTTTACCTGTGTATTATGGATTATGGAAAGGCATTTGACTGGGTGGCTCATAACAAATTATGGATAATATTGTGAAGAACGGGTATTCCAAAACACCTAATTGTGCTCACGAGGAACCTGTACATAGACCAAGAGGCAGTCATTTGAATAGAACAAGGGGATACTGAACAGTTTAAAATCAGAAAAGGTGTGTGTCAGGGTTGTATCCTTTCACCATACTTATTCAATCCGTATGTTGAGCAAATAATTCAAGAAGCTGGAATATATGAAGAAGAACATGACATCAGGATTGGATGAAGACTCATTAACAACCTGCAATGTACAGATGATACAACCTTGCTTGCTGAAAATGAAGAGGATTTGAAGCACTTACTGATGAAGATCAAAGACTACAGCTTTCAGTATGGATTACACCTCAACATAAAAAAAAAAGAAAATCCTCACTACTGGACCAATAAGCAACATCATGATAAATGCAGAAAAGACTGAAGTTGTAAAGGATTTCATTTTACATGGATCCACAATCAACACCCATGGAAGCAACTGTAAAGAATTCAAACAATGGGACTTCTGGGTAATATGGCGGTATAGTCAGAAGCACCACGCCGTCCCTCCACAGCAAAGATCAGAAAAACTAAGACAAATAGAGTCACACGTCAATCCTGAAACCCTAAGCATCAAATGAAGAGATAAAGAACTCAGCCAAGCACTAAATGGAATAAGAAACTGACCAAGAACAGACAGCGAGGAGATATACATGCAGAGGTCCCCTATCAGCTACCTCAGCACAGATCTGCCATCTTGGACTCTTACCAGAGATCAGCAAACAGCGGGTATGAGAAAGCAGCTTCCTGGAGCTTCCAGCAGGAGACAGAACAGCCAGTAACCGGCGATAGAGACTTTCCCACCCCCCACCCTTCTTCACCCCCACTTAGCCTCCTCTGCTTCCTGCAGCCACAGTCTCCTGGCCGGGAAGCACCAGCTTCACCCCAGTACCATTTGGATTCCACCCGCTCTCACTGGCTGGCTCCCTCAGTGCCTTCTATCGGCTGCTGGTGTTGCTTTTTTCCGCTTCTTTAGATTTCTTCCTTACCTCTCACCAACTCCACCTCTTTTCTCTCAAATACCTGGCTCCATGCGCCATCTTTGCTTCTTCCTGAAAGGCTATGAGACACTGCTCAACTGTGAAACTGATTCCCGGCCAGTGCTACCATGCCGGTGGGACCCCTGGGGATTTTTTGTTTGTTTGTTTGCTCTGATTTGTTCTGGTTTGATTTGTTTGTTTTCTTTTTCTTTTCTCAGCTTGGGAGCCACTTCTAGCCGGACAGTACCACGCGGCTTGGAAGCTACTCTCTTACTCTGTGCAGACGCACAGGGACATCCCTGGGAGCATTTCTTTTTTTCTGCTTTTTTTGTTCTGTTTTGTTTTTTTGGTTTTTTCTCTCTTATTCCATTTTTGTCTTTCTTCATTTCCAGTTTCTCAAATTATTCATTTTTTTCATTCACCCTTTTTCTTTTTTTTTCATTTCTGTTTTTCCCCATTTCTCAGTCTCTCATCTCTCCACTCCAATAGCAAGCTCCCTTAGCACTCTCTTTCGTTTGTGTGTATGTTTTTGGCTCCTGTTCCTCTTTCCTCTCTCTCATCTTTCCCATACCCATCTTAGCTCCACACATCACAATGTACCCCCTCCTTCCTGCCTACCTGCACTGTGCACTGAACATCACACTCCCAAGCAGCACAGGTACAGCCTACTGGAACCTGCCCTGCACTTATTCCTGGTCCGCACTGTCAGCCCTGGTATGTGCCACAAACAACCCATCACAGCAACTCCCCTTCAGCTGGACCTGCCCTGCTGTACCATAACTGAGTGACTGACTCTTCCCATTGGAGAAGGAGGTGAAAAGTATGTCCACAGACGAGGAAACAACAAAGAATGCACATTCTGCCTGCTAAGATGTAACCAAATAAAACAAAATAGCAGGACAAAACAAACAAATCTACAATCAATAAATGAGGAAAAAAACCACTGAATGCCCTGAAGACAGCAGACAATATCAAAACATTTACAAAAACAGGACAGGATGGTTCCAGTAGGAGTCCAAAATAAAACACCAGATGACCTTCCAGTAGAAGAAAAGGCACTAGACCTAACTGATAGGGAATTCAAATCTCTAATATTCAGAATTATCCAAGAGTGGAAGCAAAAAGCAGACAAAAGTGAGGAAAAAATAGACAAATTCATGGAAAAGGCACACAAATTCATGGAAAATACAGACCAAAAAAAAGGACGAATTCAAGAAAATAATACAGGAACAAAATGCTAAAACAAATTCACAACTACATATCATACAAAAACAACAATTAAAAATCCAAAAGATAAACAACAAGATTTCAGAAATGAACAGTGTCATAGAAGGGCTGAGGAGCAGGTTTCAAACAATGGAAGACAGGATCAGTGAAACTGAAGACAAACACTTGGATACAACTCTGAGGAAAAATCAGAAAAAAGAACGAAGAAAAATGAAGAAACTCTGAGAATTATGTGGCATACAATCAAAAGCAAAAATCTGCGAGTGATCGGAGTTCCAGAACAGGGAGAAAACAGAAAACACAGAGAGAATCAT